GCCTAAAAACACGACTAAAAATACCCCAAAAACCCAAACCTCTGCTTGGAGAGAATGTATGGGGCCTGTATGAGGGCTGCATACAGTTATCCCTCCGATACAGAAATGATAAAGAATGATTTACTGTCTACTAAAAATGTACAGCAGCTCTCAAATTCGTAGAAAACAACTCAAGTCGCTACTAGAAACGTCTGCACAGGAGGCTAGTCGGACAAATGTTTCCCATCAACATGACGGGCCCCACTCCAGCGGTATTTCCCGCCAGTTTTCCCTTCCCCACAGGTTTGCCGGCAAACTAGACGAGAATTTGTTTCCAAACGCGGGGTTCAGCAGGGGCACTGGGCGCGCTCTGGCAGGTGGTACCACAAGAAATGTCTCACTCCACGCACCATTTAACCTTAACTTCACGGAGCCACGCTTTCTCAGCCAACGGTCTTTTCAACCGGAGCCGGGGGTAAACCCCTTACAGTAAGGCCACACCAAGTAAATTTTATGGATGACGTCCGCGCGCGCATTGATTTTGGCCTGTTCCTAGAAAAAAAAAGTAAATTCCGCTTCCTGTAACTATGACCAAAGAGTCACGACAGTGCCACAAATAGATTGACGTAAACCCCGTAACGCGAAATGGGTAAAGAGCACGCTTTGTTTCTGCAGGCCTGCAAAAATGTGATGAAAGAAACAGGACTGGACGACAACTGCTGTTCCACCTGATTCATTGCTTTTTTGATGATGAATAAACGACTTCTTGCTTGTTACACTGTGTCACCTCATTCAATTTGTGTCCTAACATTTGTCGTCTCTTAGTATATTTCTAATCTAGGCATCTTGTTTTTCAGGGCCTTTCTGTTTTTTTTTTTTTCGCCCTCTCGCATTAGATTTAGGGTCTCCAAAGGACGTCATCCATAAAATTTACTTGGTGTGGCCTAATCCGGAATACACTGGGATAGAGGTTTCCTTGACACGACTGTTCTCTACCGGTCCACTCAAACTGGAATTGTGTCAGGGATAGGCTGTCACAATTTGTAGAGGAGCTTTCAAAACAACCATTGAAGTACACATTGTACAATTCATTACATCAACATGTGAATATTTCTGATTATTAAATGTTACAAGGCAAGTTGTAATATAAGACAGTTCTTCAGAATGTAGAGGGAGGCAAACCATTTGAAAGGGCCACGTGAAGATCGCTTAAATTGGGAAAAAGGTGATCGTTGCTTGTTTCATATGTATATTTTGACGAAGCGTTGACATGGTATGATATGGTGACAGAATATGTTAGGGACATGCCTGGTGATGACTTCAGATTTGGGGACTTGTTATCCCGCATCTATTCAATAGGTGGCGCTGTGGGAAGGTCATATTTCCGCGGTACTCTGACAATCTAATATTTGTAGAACATCGCGGGGCGGAAGGCACGCCTTCTGACGCAAATGGACTTCTACGGGGCAACTCGTTGTTTGTAATCATCTTTGCCAAGCTTTCTGCTATGACATAAAGTGCTTATGAAGAATTTACAAACGAGAATGTTACAATGACTGTAAAGTCTGTAAAAGGAAAGTACATGTAGTCGTCCCGCCCTATAAATACAACTCAGAGTACAACTGTATGTGAAAGAATTTGTAAATATTGTAATGCAAAGGCTGTGGAAGACGAAATACACTTTATCTCAAATTGTTCCTTTCATAGCAACGCTCAAAATGAGTTAACTATTCAAACTTCTACAATTTATCCCAATTTTACTAAACTTACAGACAAAGAAAAAACTATTCTTCTTTTAACTTCCCAAAACCCACAAATTTTAGAAAAGGTGGGACATTACGTCTTCCATGGTCTAAAAAAGAGAAGTCAAACCCCTTAGACATAGTTTTAGACATAGCTATAGCTCTAGACAACTACCTTTTATCATGAATATTTTAGTTATTTTTATACGTTTCATTGTTCTTTTATGTTTGTAATCTGCAATTAGCCCCCGGGCATGAATTTGCAATAAACTTCTGTACAACATATACCGACAAATAGAATGATCACTACCTGTGTCGACAAAAACAAACCCTTTGTTTGAGATAAACAGCAAGCTTGATTATTTGTGCCCTTCATTAGTTCCGTAGCGTCCGTACTTGTTCAGCTGCGCCACTAGTGACCATTTCACAGTTTCAGAAAACGTCGTAGAAACGTTACAACATGTTGGCATTCGCTGTCCTCTTCTTTGTCCAGGTCTTGTCGATCAAGGTACGTTCACTTAACATACTGCCATAATTAAGGGTTTGGTCACATTCATTGCCGTAGGATCGCAAAATATACAAGGGAATTATTCGGATATTCGTACATATATATAGATCATCCTCAAAATTCAGCTACCCTGCGACGAAAAGGGTTGCCTTTAATAGAACCTTGCCTGTGTTTTTTTCATAGCCTTCTATACGATAATGAGAATAGTACGACGGCCTGGACGAATATAACGGTGCCGAATTGAAAGGCACCAGATGCAATTTCAGGGCGGGAAAACATTTAATATTCTGAATAAAGCAATTTGTATCATAATGACACATAGTGCCCCATATCAGCACATTGTCTTAAAACAGAGCAGAAACAAGTTCCAATTGCAAGATGAGTCCTTTATTGTTTTGGGTGGTACCCCAAAATAAGCCCAGGATCCTACCAGAAGCCTTTTGATTTCACAATTTCAGGTAATTTTGCCCAATGAATGTCAAATACATTGGGAAAGTATTGTTTCAATTCACTACATTGGGAAAGTGTTCAATTCATTATGTAGCCTGGGTACCATCCTGGTTAGGCTCCCACAGTCGCTCCCACCAACGGAGTGAGCGGACGTAAACTAACCAGGATGGTACCCAGGCTACTCATTATGTAGATAAGTGACTAGAATATTGACTTTAAAAAATCTGTTCTTCAAGCCCTAAAAATTGCATTGAGCGCCTGTACATCTCTCGTGCCTCCCTCCAGGCCCAGACGGGCTGTAACTCGAACGCAGACTGCCTGTCCACGGAGTGCTGCCGCTGGTGGAACAGTGCCCGGCCCATGGCGGAACAGATGTTCTTCATCCAACCTGTGGACAACTCCGGCTCTACTGCAGGGTACTGCGGACCCATGGCTCAGGTAAATACAACTGATACTTCGTGACAGTTTATAATGTACTACTAACACGTGTAACAACGTACAATAGATAGTAAATTTATAGAAAGTCTCCGTTGAAAAATGCTTAGGCAATTTTTTAAAAGTTTGGATTGACGAAAATTCACATGTACATGTAAACACAAGTATATTAGCTGCCATGCCGGTGAAAAAGTAAGGTAAGTCAGATATGCCATACAAAATGTAACTGTGACACTTTAATTTCTTGTACTTGTAAATGTACTTTAACGCTCACATATTAGACTGGCCCGCCCTGTGACAAGACTATTATAGCCTCAACTAGGCGTCTATTAGTTATAAACCTCGGACCGTTTTTCTTCACACTGACAGGACGGTGAGCAGTGTTCCCTGCAGTACGGCTCCAGCCCGTGTCACTGTGAGACCGGACTGCGGTGCTGGGCGGGGATAGTGGGAGCCTACCCCACCACCGGCACCTGCCGCACACCTGAGTACATCCAGCAGGCCTGGGACACCTGGAACGAGAACAACAACGGCATGTACCCACCTGCCATGCCCATGGGGATGGAACAACAAGACGGCATGGGCATCATGATACCACAGTAGTTTGATAATGGGGGAGATTTTCTCTACAAGTAAACATGATGGAAAATTATATATTCCTTGTGTTTTTCTCGCGTATGTGTGTAAACGTTGGGTGAGAAAAAAAGGACGTCGACGTCATGTAAAGATACGCAACCATCAAAACGTTTGGCAACTTGGGGAAATAAAACAACGTGTAGTTGTGCTGTGTATCATTAAAATTCTTGAAATTACGTATTTCTTTTGCGCATTTATATTTGTGCTATGCAACGTTACTCGCGCCTGACAACTTGTGTAGTGTGTCCAAGAACTAATTAACTTAAATTCGTAATTTCTTTAATGAGGTGAAAGAAGGGCAAAAACAGTAAATTTTTCACAGGAACTTTCTAGACTAAACGTAGCCATCTGACCAAGTAAATAAGTGTGAGAACGTACAGGTGCAACAAACGGTTATGGGACAGGATGTTGTTCTGTTGGTTTGCAAATGTTTTCCTGCGTATCAAATTAACACCGCTAGGCGGCGCTGCTTAATGATATTGGATTAAAAAGCATAATCTTTATTAACGATGCCAATTAGATATGGTTGACGTTTTCGATTGTTAACAAATTGACAGCAACAGGGCCATTTGCTTTTAGTTTTTTTCCCTACAAATTTAGTCAATACATCAATTATACTCTTTGCAGCAATGGACGTGTTGCATAGTATCAAAAACATAATTTAACAGAAGTACAACAACTTTTTAACGAAAAGACATCCACCGGATCATTACATAAACACTGCGACAAATTATTTAACTTCTAAACTCATAGTTTATGTTGGAAAAACTTTGGATAATCACCCAAACGAGGTCCCCCCAGCACAACTCCTAATGGACTATTCCATTTTCCCTGTGCATTCTGGGACCGTCATGGACGGCCATTGATCAGCGAAACCAGCCGCTATCGACGCCAAAAAGTGCAGAAAATAGAGCTCATATCCCGAAAAGCATCAAAACAGGACGTGTGAGTATATAGCTAAAGTTTCTGTGCAAAATTTTGGAGGATCACCTTGTTGGGACCGAGTAAAGTAAGAGCGTGTTTCCCTAAGAAAGTAGGGATCGTCACCCAAACATTTCCTTCGACGGGTAACGTCATCGTGTCATTTGTGTGTAAGGTTCATATTTCTCTCAGGCGGCCATTTTGGATATTTTTATGGGCGGTGCCCGCCTGCAGGATTTTCAATGTATTAGAGTGGTAAAGGGAATCCTTTCATTATGATGATGACAGAGTTTACACCTTTGAAATGAGGCAAAAAGCTAGAAGTGTTTTAAATTGATTATCATCAGTCAATGTTATGGCTAGTGAACTAAAACACATGCAAGGATTTCAGAATGTTATGAGTGTTATTCAATATGTTTACATTTAGAAAGTTTTGCATGGACACCAGCACAGGATATTGTTGTTCTTTTCAATCCCAAAGCCATCTATAAATGCATATACTAAAGAATGTCAAAGTAAAGTATAGTATATTTAATATTATTGTGTGAAGTAAATAACGTTAGAACCGTTATATTATAATTATAATAGAATCAATGAAACTATAAAGATGATCTTTTAGTATTCTCAGAGACATTTTGGTATTCTTTATGTCATGTCCTGTTTTTCAAGTTTAACATTAATATGTTCAAAGAAATATTTTCTGCATGTTTCTTTTTACTGTTTTTAGAAAAATGCAAGAAGAAGTCGCATTAACTCACAGTGAAAAGCCTTTGGGAGTTTGATATTTTGATTCTTAATTTTGGGTACAGAAGTGATACTTGTATTTGTTATAGTTGGCTGAGCTCTGCGGGTGTGTGTACTAGTATCTGTTTGTCCAGATTGACAGGCAGAGTGACAGTCAGGTCAATTTTAAGTCTCAGAATCTGGCTGTGATCCATAGGGAATTCAGGAAGCAGAGGATTGCATATTTCCAACAAGTTTGAAATCTCGTTTACTGAAGGAAAACTTATTGTTATTGCTACGTTTCCTCTTCTTCTTCTTCTCCAAACAGTGACCTCTGACCTGACTGAACCAGATGTCTGTCACCATGGTAACTCAGGTGTTGGGTTACATCATGTTGCAATTTTATAGTAGGAGGGATTTAGACTCCTGTCACCATATATGTGAATGTGTTTGAGAATTAACATCTAGCAGACCATATGCCAAGGTAAACATCATGCATTTGCTTTGCAAATGTTACCTTTCTAGTTAATATAAATGTTGTAAAACAGGAAGATGGCAACCCTGGAGGAGTTGGATATTGACGGGCTGGATCACTTCCAGTCCATCGTGTCCAGCCTGAACACGCAGCGCCAGCACGGTCACCTGTGTGACGTCACCGTTATTGTGGAGGGACAGCGCTTCCCCGCACACAAGGGGGTCCTGGCTGCCTGCAGCGCGTACTTCGCAGCAGGATTTGACCAACCACAGAAGGTTTGAGCATAATTTATATTTTCACTCACCGATAGGAGAAAGGGAGGACAAAAGATTTGATTTCCGAAAATAATTTCATCAGGTTGGTAGAACTTAGGAGACAGGTATTTCTTTTTACACAACAGGTACAATTCTCACCTTGCTGACGTTTCGGTGTCTGTCAGACACCTTCTTCAGAGCTTCTGACTGGAGTTGTGCAAATTTTAGAAATACCTGTATCCTGTTTACTTTGATGTTTCTTCATGATCATCTATTTTGATCCAAAAAATTTCCAAAAGGTATCACACTTCCATTTTTAGGCCCAAAGACGTGATTGGAAATATGTACATTTTTACCTGGAAATTGTTTTTTCCCAAGATTTCTTGTACTTATTAGTGCTGCATACCTAAACCCACATTTAGGTTCAGGTCCGGATTCAAGTCCAGAGGTTTAGGTTCAGTTCCGGACTTGTAAGTCCGGACCTAAACCCATGGCATGTACAAAATTGCATGTTGGCAACCTCGCAATATTGTCTGGGTGAAATTTTGGCCACATAACATGGAGGCTGACACTTGACGATGCCCAATGGCAATGTTTTCTTCATTTTGCAGCAAAGTTTTTGCAATCTACGGAAGGTTTTAGGTGGTTTGGAAAGAAAAGGGGTTTGTGAAATGGTCTTTTATGGTAATGAGTCCGGACTCGGTTCTTGACTTTTAGGTTTTTTGGACTTGAACCTAAACATTTTTACAAGTCCGGATCCAAGTCCAGTGAACCGGTATGCAGCACTAGTACTTAATCAGCTGTTTTTATTTTTTTTGATCGACCCTGACTATAGCAGTCAGTGCTAACATTACATTAACATTACACTTTGTAAATGACTGACCGGTCTGACCCTGAATGATTTCTCTGCCCCAGGTGCTGGAGGTAGAACTGACTGAGGTGAGTGCAGCAGGGTTCCATGATGTGCTGGACTACATGTACACTGCCAAACTGGACCTCAACTCTGACAGGATGGATGCCATTTACGAAACCGCCCAGGTGAATGAAATATGTTCACCATCATTTTGGTTAAAATTACTGATTGAAGGCCACCTATTATTTAGTCTAGCTGTAAAGTTATTCTTATAGTAGTTATGGTTTGTGGTGCCTAAGGCCACACCAATTTAATTTCTTGGTTAACGGATTCGCCGCTTCATTTTTTTCTGATTTGCAAATAAAAATAAAAATTCAGAATCAACTGCAAAATGCTCATATTTTGCCCTGAACAGTTGAAAACAGTCCTTTTCTTACTACTTGTTACAGTCATTCCATCTTTCAATGCAGTAGCATCATTAAAAGTTCAAAATTCATTGTTTAAATTTTGAACCAGCCTGGTGTGTTGACTTCATGGCTCCTATCGTACCATTTTGGGCCATAATAGGATGCCTAGGCCAGTTTTTATTTTTCTTTTTTTTTCGCCCGCCCGCTCCATTATTTTTCTAGAAAAATCCGTTAACCAAGAAATTAAATTGGTGTGGCCTAATAGTGATATAGCAAGTACAAGTTGTTGGATACAAGAATCGGAGACATTAAGTTATTAACATTTTTTGGGCAATGCAGCTTTAGGCACTTTATCAAGGTAGAAACAATCTATACTTATTTTCCTGTAACAAAGATGAATGTAATTTTCATGCAAATTGTTTGATAGAAGTTGTAAGAACATTTTTTGGCGATGCCACAGGGGTGGAGGCATTTTTTTAACAGTATATTACGATCAATCAGAAAGAATTTAGACTAGAGTTCCCCGATCTCATACCTTCGCCAAATGATGTTAATCTTTATGACTGACAAATTATAGATTAGATTATTCCCCCCTGATTTAAGAAATAGGAACCTAATTTTCATGAATTATATCATTTTATCATAATCTCAACCAAAAGACAGTCTTATATTAACAAACAATGCATTCTAGCATTTCCTAATAAATTATGCAAACGAGGTCCTGATTTGAATAAATTATGTTTAATGATGTTCACCTCAATTTAACTTTCAAATACCACAAGTATGAAATTCCAGGCAGTTATCATTACATAATTATAAAATTTTCTAATTAATTATGCAAATTAGGTCATTATTAACATAATCAATATCTTCCTGTGTTTCTCTCGTTGTCAATTACCAATGTCACAAGCTTCAATTGTCCTATCATGGAATGCAGATGATTTATAGAATTTCCCCATAAATTATGCAAATTACATCCATATTTGCATAATTGTCACATAATTATATTAAGCATCAAGTAAGCTACCTACATAACAAAAATCACGACGATCCGTCCACCGGTTCTTGAGTTATCCCTTTTTGAATATTTTCAAGAATATATCCCTGCAGTTCCAGAGCAAGCCGCTAGGGGGCCTAAACTCACGTCACTTCTTCCCCAGCACAAGAGCTACCTACCATCCAAATTTCAACACCATAGCATGTCTAGATCATGAGATATCAAAACCGGAAGTTCAGCTGCAGTACCATAACAAGCTGCTAGGGGGTCCAAAATCTAATCATTTCGAGGTCTCATCAAGACCTACCCACCTACCAAGTATCAAGACAATCCATCAAGGCCTTCTCAAGTTATCGTGTTGACAGACAGACACACACACACATACACGAACGCCCCTGAAAACATAACCTTCTTGGCGAAGGTAAAAATTTCACGAATGCATTCCCAGGGGAATTAGTTTTGAGGTAGTCTTCGGCCATGTGGTTTTTGGACTGAGGAGTAAAGGCCTTTGTTCCTTTGTATATGAAAGGCACCATTTATGGCAAATTGCTCCTTTTTGCCCAAAGAATAGCAGTTTTTACTGATTTTTTTTTATTTGTGTTATGTGTAGGTCCTGCACATGAAGGCAGTGCTGAATCTGTGTTCCCAGCAGTTCAAGTCTCAGGTTCAAGGTCACAGCGCCGGTAACCTTGACCTCCACGAGTCCACAGCCTCCATGGCTGCACAGCTTCTCAGTCTGGGGTCACAGGAGGGTCAGAGGTCAGACACCAGAGGTCACCTGGACGCTACGGAAGCGAACAGCCTGGGCGAGACGAGTGCCTCCTCTCAGCGGACCTACGACCCCGTCGACGTCGGGTTCGAGGACGTTTCTGACGATGACAACGACGCATCGTTACCGGAAACACCTCAAACTCCAGAGAAGACAGAAGAGAAGGACAGCGAGCTGGGCAGTATCAGAACATCCATAGTCCACCTCGACTCCACGCGCACACTGAAGATCCTGTACTGTCCAACGTGCGACAAGCCCTTTAAGGGGATGGGGGAGCTGCGGCAGCACTTCCGCACGCACTCTAAAGAAAGACCGTACGAGTGCCCGGTGTGTAAGGCTCGCTTCATCCAGCAGGGACACCTGTCAGGCCACATGAAACTGCACAACCAGAAGGAGGACAGGTCTATCAAGTGTCCGGTAGGTCTGGCAGAGTAGTAGTACTGTTGTCATGTATGAAGTTACTGTTTGAATGACTGGTCTACTTGTAAGGACAATAACACAATCCTTCTGGCAGCCAAAAGGCTGATGTATAAGGTCCAAGTACATTAAAAAAGTTGATGCAATGCTTGTCACATTTTAAAACAGTACAGATTGAAGCACATAATTAAAGTAAGGCTTATTGGATCCAAGGTGTTTGGATTTTAACATTCCAACAACATGCACCAGGTATTAAACCTCAAGTTACTTTTTTTCCAGTCTCATAAAAGTACAGTATTGGTAATATGTAATAAGTTAAATTGTTCCCCATCACTTTTGTAGGTTTGTGAAGCTGGGTTTGTTAATGAGGCTACCTTGAAGAGGCACCTGAACAGTGTCCATCCCACATACACAACCACCAAGAAAGGTTCCCTCCGCAGTAAGACAAAAGCAGAGCTGAAGGAGGCCATCAAAGTCAAGAAGAGGGGAAACACCCCCGAGGTGCTGAAAAAGGAAGAGGCCATAAAACCCAGGGAGGAAATCCAGGAGGAAGAACAGGAAGAAGACCAAGAGGAGGAGGAGGAAGAGGAGGAAGAAGTAGAGGAGGAGCTGGAAGAAGAAAATTTGGAGGAGGAGGAAGGAGACGAAGATGATACAGATAAGGATTGGAAACCCCCAGGCAAGTTAGATATCCTTTGAACATCCCTTTGCCTTCGCATACTTTGTTTTGAACAGTAAAGCTGTCTTTGGTAAGGGAATCTAAATGAAGAATGGATGTTGCCAGATCTCCCTATTTTCACTATACAGATATGCACATACATGTAAAATGATACTTAGTATGTAACAGAAAGAAAGAAGTAATAACACACACATTCATATTCAGCAACGTTTAAGATTTGATAAATCTTACAGATGATGGTACCATATGAAGGCAACATGAAGGTGTAATGACTAACAATATTTGACGTGTGGACAAAATAGTAATCAATTTTCTTTTTATTTTATCCAGGGGGAAGGAAAGGGAGCAAGCCCCCTGGAAGAACTGGAGTGGTTTTGAGAAAGAAGAGAGGACCAAAGCCTAAGGATGGCATGGAAGTACAGTGGACCACAAGTACTATGAAGGTGAAGATTGAAAATTACCGTAGATGTACAGATTCCTAGAAATCTTTACCCTAAACCTATTTCTGAACCTACAGCCTCGAAAATCTTTGGACTACCCTTACCTGTTTAACAGTGAGAGAATTTGAAGTATTCTATGCAAATATGGATGTTGATGTAAATGTCTATTCCCAACAGGTGGAAGGAGGTGTAGCTGTGAGGGTGTACAGGTGTAACTACTGTGACAAGGTGTGCTCCAGCACCTGCAACATGAAGCAGCACATTCGCACACACCATACGTTCGAGCGACCCTACGAGTGTGACGTCTGTGGGGCAAAGTTCAAGCAGCGGGGGCACCTCTCAGATCACCACAAGGTTAGAAAACTACTGTGATTCCTGATTACTTTTGTGTTTTGCCCTTAGGAAAGGCACTTTACACCTATTTCCTCACTCAGCGGGGGTGGGGAAGTTCTCTTAGGTGGATGTAAATCTGGAGGTCGGAGGTCCTGTGTTTGCAGAGAGCCACACCTCAAACATGTTAAAGAACCACCACACTTATTGAAAAGTGTAGGAGTTTGAGTGGTTTAAACCTTGCAGTCTGGTCTCTTGGTTGAGATCTTGAAAAGAAAATAGTCTTCTGTTACGGACTTAATTTTATGGATAACATCCTCTGAAGACCCAAAAAAATTTCCGACAAAAAATAAAAATGCTACTAAACCACAGGAATATAAAGCTGGTATTGTGAATTTGCAGCAGTACATAGCGACGTATACTACAAGCCAGCACATGCTGGTTTTTGCAGAATTTATGAATCGGCACTGTACGTATGTACTCAATGTACTAAGGTCTTGAGTCGTGGAGCTTCGGTAGCCTGGGTGCCATCCTCCAGAGTTTCTGCCAGCTCCGTATTGTTGCTAACTATCATGGACTACCAAGGCCTAGAGCCAGGCCAGAGCCTTGGGGGACGTGACCTTTTTTTGAGAACAGGCAAAAATCAGTCAGCTCGCGGATGTCATCCATAAAATTAAGTCGGTGAGGCCTAAATGTCAATAGAAAAGGTGTCGGAAGGGTTTTAACTTTTGACTAATTCTTTCTCACCACAGGTCCATGCAGACAGGAAGAACTGTCCCTACAAGTGTGACAACTGTGGTGCCAGTTTTGTGAAGCTGCACGCCCTGTCTCGCCACATCAGGAAGATGCACAAGGAGCAGGCCCACAGACTGTCCACCTGTGAGCTGTGTGACAAAACCTTCCCCAGACCTGCCATGATGAGGGTTCACATGCAGACAGACCACAAAAATTACAGGTTATTCTTCTGTTACAACTCATATAGCACATTGGCAGAATGTACTACCTACCTACCTACCTACCGCTCCACCGCATATCAGCTACCGCTGAGGCGTGACATCATTGTTCTCCATCTGTCTCTATCTTGCGCGGCTTGTTGCGCCCCCTCCCATTCGCAACCCATCACTGCAAGGCCTCTTTCCACTGTTTTTCTCCACGTCATACTTTGCCCACCCCTCTTCCTTTTTCCTTGTGGACACCACGTTAACACCACTTTTGGCAGTCTTTGTCTTGGTATTCTAGATATGTGGCCTAGCCACCTCAGCCTTGCTCTTTGTACTAGCTTAGAAAGCTTTGAATGTACTGGGCCTGCACGGAACCCTGACTTTCACAGTTTTCATTGGATGTTTGGTCACCGTTGTATCAGAATTTTGCCCATTGCAGACAATATATTTTTTGACATAAGGTTTGGAAACTACAGACGAGATGTTAACCATATATGCACAAATACGACCTCATATGAGACGTTCTACTGAAGTGCTGTGCACAGTACATTGTACATTACAGGTTTCATGCAGGTGCAGTACATTCTGCCGATGTTCTAACTCATTGTGATGTTGATATGTTGGATCTTTGGTCTACTTCAAGGGGCAAGGTCTCATGACTTTGTGTGCTACTGAATGGCTGAGTGGTTAGGCTAGTGGACACCAGATCAAGAGGTCACTGGTTTGATTCCTGGCAAGATTCCTGGCATCCTTCCTTTTCCTTGGTGGTTATGACTGACAAGCTGATTTCTTACTTTCATCTTTCTATGCACAAAAATACTTTGATAAGTTGAGTTGTGGAACTTTGGACTAGTGAAAGTGTGAAGTGATGCCATGTCTGTGCACAAATACTACGAGAACACTACAGTCAAACCTGTACTAGCCACCCTCCCGAGCAGGGTGTAGTGGCTCGGCCCCGAAGTGTCCTCCCTCACTACACCCTGCCAGTCCTGATTCGATTTGAGCCTCCAGCCCAGGAAGCCTATAACAAGCTGTCAGCCAATCAGAGACACAGCTTTGACTTCTGGAAAGCTAAGGGCAAAGGTCGTTGGGAATCCGACAGCCAATCACGTTACGTCTTACATCGCTGGTTTGGGTTTCCTGTAATGGCGGCTGGTAATGTTTTCTCAGCCGTGCAAGACTTTTTCGGCGTCAAACAGCTTCACGAACACCAAAAAAGCACGCTGCAGGGACTGCTTGATGGACGAGACGTGTTCCTTAGTGTGAGGACAGGCGGAGGGAAAAGTCTGTGCTACATGCTGGGCTTTCCAGCCGCAGCCAGAGCAGCGGCAGAGCTGCAGTCTCAAAATAGAGCATGTGCCAAATAAGGCAAGCTCATTAATATGTATAGACTTCCTGGGCTGGAGGCTCAAATCGAATCAGGACTGGCAGGGTGTAGTGAGGGAGGACACTTCGGGGCCGAGCCACTACACCCTGCTCGGGAGGGTGGTACTAGCAGTCACCCCTGTATAGTGGACACTTGGCCATATTGGTCAGTTTTTGCCAGTCCCTTGAATTTTTCCCATTGACGTAAGCATTAAGAATTGTGTCTATAGTGGTCACCTGTCTGACGCGGTCAGCGGTCACCCCATTCCGGTCTTGCCGGCTATCAACACCGCTGATAGCGGTCGCGGAAGGCCGTAACCCGCTAAGCACCACGGCCGTAACACCACCCCACCATGGCCGTTATATGAGCCTTGCAATAATTTTCGATCGCTACATTACTAAAATGTGAACTGAAATTAGACTCCATATGTGTGAAATAAAGGCAAACTTGGTTTTGACACGATGTGTTTTTTTTTCAAACACACATGGACAATGTAAATGTGAATTGGTGTTGAAGTTCTAATATTGCTGTAACATCTTGTCCCCAGGCCCTATGGCTGTAGTGAGTGTGACATGACCTTCCCGACAGTGGGACGTCTCAACAAACACAAGGAGATCCACATCCCCGACCGTAAACACGACTACCAGTGTGAGATCTGTGGGAAGATGTACCTCACCAAGGCTGGCCTCAACAACCACACAAGGCATCATACAGGTCAGAAACAACGCTTTATCATGAAGATTCTTCCAAATCTTACGGGTTAGAAGTTTTCGGACAGTTTACTTATTCCTTCAAAAGCTTATTAATGTCTGCATGATTTTTATGAATTTCTATGATGATTTTTTGCTTCATCATCATGCATAACTTAAATTTACAAATGCTCTATGGCTTTATTCTACATACTAGTATTGAGATAATTTGTCCAATATCCACCACATTGATTGAAAGTATTCTTTTTTGTGAGAAATATGAGAGAACATTGGGTGTTTTGAAGGAGATTGAAGGTAGAGGGATGGGCTCTGCTTTCAAATACTGTGCCCTAAACACTGCCCCAGTGGCATCAAAAAGGCTGTAGAACTACTTAAAGATTTTACCTTTGCTGCTTCTCACCAACATTTTCCGTTGACCAGGAGAGAAGCCATACGCCTGTGACCAGTGTGATGCTAAGTTTGCGGAGTCCAACAGTCTGAAGGTGCACAAGCTGAGGCACAGTGGGGAGAAACCTTTCCTGTGTGATGTGTGTGGAGCAGCCTTCACCTACCCTAACTCACTCAAGACACACAAACTTCTACATACAGGTACATGTAACGGGCAGTAAGGCCATGTTGATTTGATTATACGGATGACATCCTCTGGGAACCCCAAAACTGATGCGAGCGCGCGAATAAAAAAAAAGTTTTGCAAAAAAAAAAGTTGCTTTCATGAAATCTACGTTGTTATGAAGGTCGAACAAATGACACAGAGTATGGTATGGCGAATAATCTACTCTTTAAATTCATTTCTTTGCATTTTAGTTTTTTTGTTTGATTTTGGCATTCTATGACATTGGAATCGTTTTCAAATATTTTTTTTGCAACTTTCGGTACATATTTGCTCATTTTGCATCTGTTTCGTACAATTTAAAGTGTGGTTGGAAACTTTTTTTTTTTTTGGAAACGGCCGAAAATTCATGCGCGCGCGGATGTCATCCATATAATCAAATCAACATGGCCTAATGTGTGCCTATTTAGATCTGGGAGGATGGAGGTGTACCACAGAGAAAGTGTGAAATGAAGCGAAATTCTTGATGTACGTCATTTTTTCACTTGTAGTTTGTTCCATTTCACTCTATTTCTCTTTATTTCACACTCTCTGTAGTTAAGATTGTACTACATCCATTGTATGCGTGCAGAGAATCTTGAGATAGTCACTTCAACTCAAAGCTTTCCATTTTTGAATGTCTCAAATATGAATACACAATCATGTATGTCAGGGAAAGAGTTAACCTCTTTAATTGCTGCAATTTAATATCAGAATATATATGAATAAGTTCCTTTCCTTGCATTAAGAAATGTTATGATAACTGTATTATTTTCCATATTCCAGGTGAGATGCCATATGAGTGTAAGGAGTGTGGGAAGCGGTATCACAACCAGTCGGCGCTGATCCGCCATGTCAAGCTGCACTCCGGGATGAAACCGTTTGTCTGTCCCGACTGTGGGAAGGGCTTTGTGTACCACGGAGAGATGACCAGGCACAGGCGCATTCACACAGGTCCGGAACTGGTCTATATGCAGCAAGTTTAAACTGTAATTTCCAACACAAGAAATTGGACTCACCCATATTTTCGACTGTACAACTCCAGTCTTTGTCAAGGAATGAGCAATCCACCGCTTCCGTGACGTCACGCAGGTAACACACGTGACTCCATGAGCAGTGGATCATAGGTTGCAGAAAGTCTGTGGCGCCCCCCGTCTCTATTGAGGGATGGTCGTAATGCCCTGATGTAGATGGCCTGATGTAGATGCAACCTATGATCCACTGCTCACGGAGTCACGTGTGTTATCTGCGTGACGTCACGGAAGCGGTGGATTGCTCATTCCTTGACAAAGACTGGAGTTGTACAGTCGAAAATTTGGGTGAGTCCAATTTCTTGTGTTGGAAATTACAGTTTAAACTTGCTGCATAATTAGGAACTAGTCTGATTTTTAACCTTCAGCACACTGGCCATTTTCCTACCAACTTTCTATTGTTTCAAGTGTTAGGTAGCAGGGAGAATGTTAACTGTCACAGCCTGGAGTCCAGCCTTGTTAGCTTGAGTCTGCTCCCCAAGATCCGTTACATAGCTGGTGCTATAGCAGATACCCGTGGTATTACGGATCTTGGGGAGCGGATGAAAGCTAACAAGGCTGGACTCCAGGCTATAACTGTCATCAAATATGATGTTTTTAACTTCCAACAACAATGTACAATTTACTTCGAAACAGGGTTTCAGTATTTCAAAATTTGTAACATATATACTGGACATTTTGATCATCATCATGGGTTGAAACAAAAATACTCTACAAATATATACATATATGTTATCGTCGAAATTGTCATCTTTCCTTACACATTCCTTTTCTGTAACGGTTTCTAACAGAAAAACAAGGAAAAATACACAGTGCACTTTTTAGAAATTGGTATCTGTTGTGATAGCCATATATTAAAATATTCCAGATTCAAGTCTTCAAACAATTTCAAACCAATAGTCTGCAATCATGTATAACAGCATTTTTACAAAAATCTCAAAATTTTTCCAAAAAATCTGGAAATGTTTCAAAAATATTTTTCAAAGCTCCTAGAAAAATCTTTTTTGATGGCTAACATGTGATATATTTTGAAATGATTTTTAAAAGATTTGTTCTATTTTCCTGACAGGAGAAAAGCCGTTTGTGTGTGACGTGTGTGGCTCAGCGTTCTGTTACTCCTCCCAACTGAGGGAACATAAGAAGATCCACACAGACGAGCGCCCTCACCAGTGTGACTTCTGCAAACGCAGGTTCAGGGCATCCAACCAACTCAAACGCCACAGGTGAAATCTCGCTGAACTATGTGCTAGCTCTGCTTCAAATACATCAGTACCTCTTTGTGCAGTATATTTCTGTATATGCTTAGCTGTAGGCTCTCATACATTCTTAGCAATGAGCAGTGTTCAACCATAAGGTGAGAATGAAATCATAATCAACACCAGACGAAAACCGAGATTTCCCTCGTGGATATCTGTGGATACTCGCTAGGAAATCCGACGTTTCCGCGAGTTTCCACTGATTTCCAAGGTGCACACGCGGCGTGTCCGCTGTGGGAAACTTGTAGAAAACGTGGGAAACGGACCGCTCAGATTTCCATTTCGTGTCCTATGGTGGAAATTTGCGTGCACATCGTCGGGATATCTGTGTACACGTATGGAAACTTCAGGTGTTTGCCTTTGTTCCACGAATGACTTATGCATAATTTAGCGGCAATTATCCCCACTTGGTGAAACCAAATGCGCATGCGCGAGCCCAGCCGACACACCCCTCAAATATACCTTTTGTAATGGAAAGTAGCATCATGGCCTCCTATCCCCCTTTACCCCTCCCCCACCCCCCTGTTTTGATATTTTTGTTGCCTTTATTAGTTGTAAATGGTGCTTGGGCTTTGTGTGAGTGTGTGTTTGTGGCTGTTTTTTTTTTTTTGCGAACTGGTCATCAGGAGGTTCTGATCTGTATGTATTTTATGCACCTCCCAAATTTCCAGTGTGCTTTGGCGAGTCTCTCAGAACAGGCTCATCTGAAACAAACTGTAGATCTTGGCCTGTTAGTCCTTCCACGTATGGCATGTAGACGATGACAGTCTCGGGAGCAGATATGAGTCTCCAGTCCTTGGAATCCTTCCTCAGCTCGTCTTGCCTAGTCTCCCTAGGGTAGGCTACCGGCTTAAAAAAAACGGGACATAGACTGAAGTTCACAATCAACCTCTGTCTGGAGAGAAGTCTAGTCCCAGTTCGTATTGCCAATGTCCCGCGGCGTTCTTGTCCTGGAAACAGCTAGTCTCTACCAGGCTTCGAGAAGCGGCTGGAAAGATTAGAAATCGGCCCAATGGAGAGATAGCATGCCAAGGTAGTTGGTGCTGCTGGAGAAAACAGTTTGCCGCTTCGGTTCCAGCCGCTTCCCGGTGCCTGGTAGACGCTAGGAAACAGCTACAAGTAAACGTAGAATTACGCCATGTCGATATTCCTCGGTGTTGATGTAGACAAATTTTCCAGTCTCTCACTAAGTCCTAGCGTGTTGCTTTGTGTCCAGGAGAACTGTAGAATGCACGTTACACAACCCAGCGTGCTAACTGACAGATTTCAAAAATAGAGCGCGAGCGTTGATTGGCCCCCTTTTCAAACCACATACAAGAAGAAATGCATGCAATTGGCTGTTATGGTTTACAGATCACTGCAAGAATAACGACCGACACAAAGGGCTGTGAAATGTCCCGGTTGTCTATTGTGAAAAAGATTCACGCTATAAAGCTTAAACAACAATAAACTCTATAGGCTAATCTTACGCCAAAATGCGCCGTCTGCATATGCGTAACACATAATACATGTACATATGCAGTTTACCTGTGTAATGTTTACAACTTCTTGTTCAAGAAAATGAAATGAAAACAAGGAAGTTAAATTAAGGCTCCTTTACAAAAACCAAACATGGTAAACAGGGATATTTTTAAACATAGACGCCATCTCGTCTGACCATTACACCACAATACACATCTAACAACAACGTACAGGTAAGGACATTATACACATGTGTGTATAATGTCCTTGGTACAGGTAAACCATTGGTAAACCTAGCATCTTTTGTCTCTTTCAAAAAATCATTTTTACACAACAGTGGGCACATATTTGAAAAACGCCAAGGGGGTCTCCCTCATCACCAACGAAAACGGACATGTTTGCAAGTGAAATATATCAAGGTCGAGGTTATCCAATAGCTTAGTTTGGGAAAATTCTGACCAGTAATTGTGTTTTTTTTGCCTATTATATACCGTAGATCCAATATGGCGCCGACATAATACGGCGTTAATTTATGCAGAAAGCCGAGCTACCAGACAAAGAAATCTGTACATTGTTAGTTAGCAAGGGTTTAGTCGACATGGTAATATTCAAGTAAGTTTGGAAACAGATACTAGTACATCGGAAAAATACTGCGAAGCATTACAATACTAGTATCTCTTAGTTAAACCAAAAAATACTAACCATGATCACTTATGACTTCCACTAATAAACATAATTTTTGCAGTAGAAATTTCAAAATTGCACGTCCCCTGCACTTCTAGGCTGAGTTTATAATTTGGCACCCAAAACAAAACGCGCTACAGACGATCGCGCGTGATCAAGTCTTTAGTTTATTATCTTCAGCTATTTCTTTTCGTTCACAACAACGTGTTGTAAATTTTTATCTAACACCCTATCGGCGTCCGTCGGCATGCTTTCTTGATTTACCGATAGTATACGCCAAAATGTATCAGGGGTTCACGCCATTTCTAGCAGAAAATTTACTAAAGCGGAGTGATAATTATTTCTATTGTACATCCATGCGCAGAATGGATGTACAGAAAACGTTAACGACATGTACTAAGTATAAACTTCAGGAAACTCTTAGACCCCGGCGTTCATTTCAAGCTTTGCATATCCTGCTAGATTCTTTAGCGGCGGTCAATCTATATACTAGTAGCCTGGTGCGGACGCAAAATAGTCTGCTATGTAAAGCCAGACTCGCAAAGTCCCATGGCAATATGTGTAAAAAAACAAAACAAAACTGCTTATAGATTGCCATACCTATTTTCTTGGATACTCCATTGTGACGATAATTAGTCAGGACACGAGACGTTTCCCACAGTGGGAAATCCCGGACACTTCGCGTGTCCCATTGTGTGCACGAGTTTCCTACATTGGACACGCCGAGATGGGGCACCCGTGGAAACTTATGTACACGGCTGGGACATGTCAGGTTTCACCAACGTGTCCCAGCTTGGAAACTTGTGGAAATTCGGTTTTCCATCCAGTGCAAAAATAAATCGAGCAGCTGGATAAATTCTCAGTTTCAGGTAGCATTCACTATCTTTTGTCAGTCTTAGATGATAGTGAATGCTATCTGAAATGCTGACTCAGAGAATTTATCCTGTTGCTTCATCCTTTTTTGAATATTTGAATGACCATAAAAAATTTAACTCTTAACTAGTGCTGTGTACAAGTTTGCTGGAACTACATGTAGTTCTGGACTTGTAAAAATGTTTACGTTCAAGTCCCAAAAAAACTGAATGTCTGTAACTAGTTTCAGACTTAAACATCTGGACTTGAATCCCGACCTGGACCTGAACGTGGGTTTAGGTACACAGCACTACTCTTAACCCTAACTCTAGTATTGTTTGACCAGATACACCCACACAGGAGAGTTCCCCCATGTGTGTGACATCTGTGGGAAGGGCTACACTCGCTCTGACAAACTCAAGGACCACAAGAAACAGCACGCCAAGGAGAGCGCTGGTGCCGCCGTGCCCAAGGCACCTCGTGCCCCCCGCAAACCTAAGGAGACCATCTCTTACAACAAGGCTCCTGTCCCAACTGTGCTCACACAGACTCCACCACCTCCACAGGTATGTATCTGTATCTGTATATGTAGGAGTGCTTTTGCTGAACTGTCAAATTCTTTGTATTTTGGACAGACATTAGAGTCCTTTTTTTTTTCAAATTTTGATCCTCATTGTTATGCAAGCCTTGTATGCTCTAACTACATGTATTCTATTTCTAGCCGGTATTTCTAGACCGCATGTCCCTTGACTGATTTAAGTGTTGTTTTCCTTGTTTCTTTGTTACAGTAGTTTGTTAAGTAGTATTGTCAGCTTCATACCTTAGAATAGTATGAAAGTAGTTGTGTGCCATACCTACATTTATTCCAAACCTATGACTAAAGTAGTTTTTTAAAACTATTCTGTACAGATCCCCCAGCAGCCCCCACCACCCCCCCAGCCTCAGCAGCAGCAGCCGGGGTCCTATCCCCCTGTGCAGACCTTCAACACCCCCGCCGCCATGGCGCGGTCCTACGGCAGCCTCACCATCCCTGTCAGCACCATCAGTCAGACCCCCACCATCTCCCCACACCCCCGGGCAGACATGCCCCACCCCTCCCCCACGCCCCCTCCCCACACATGCCCCCCCTCCCCAGCCCCACCACCTCCAGCACCACCAGGGGTATGACGTGGGGATGGGGGGTGTGCCCACAAGCCACCAGGGTGGGGGGCTCTACATCCCCTCTATTGTACCCCAGCTCATGCTCAATCCAACCAATGAGGAGAGGTATTACATGCAGCAACAGCTACAGCAGCAGTGAGACGACATCACTGATTGGTTTCAGAGTCAAATCGAGTCAAAATATAGTGCAAGCTTGTCAAACCATGAGCTTGACAATGTATCGTACTGTATACAAACTTATGTTAAATTGTAATAATATACGTGTAAATGTAAGAAATGTTGTATGTTCAGTTGCATATCTTCCTGAAACTTTATATCTTGACAGTCAAACTTAACTGTACTGATCAAAATCATGTTATACTGGCACCAAGCACTTAAGACTTGTTTTGGAAACCACCTCTTGTGCCATAGTGTGCAATTAACAATTGTTTATGAGTGAATGTGTTTCTTTTAGTGTTTTCTATCTTATTTCAGGCCTGGATGGCCATCTCAGATGAAATAGTTCGTGTTCCATGGTAAAGACGTATATGTTTAGGCCACACCAATTTAATTTGTTGGTTCTCGGATTCGCCTCTTCGTTTTTTTCTGATTTGCAAAAAAAAAAATTTGATTCTGGTCCTGAATCAACTGAAAAATGCTCATGTTTTGCCCCCCAACAGTTGAGGAAAGTCCTTTTCTTCCTAGTTGTTACAGTTTTCCCATCTATCATTGCAGTGGTTTGATTAAAAGTTCAAAATTCAATGTTTAAATTTTAACCCAGCCTTTTGTGTTGACTTCATGGCTCATTTTGTAGCATTTAAGCCTATGATAGGATGACTAGACCTGTTTTTATTTTTATTTTTTTCGCCCTGTCGCTTCATATTTTTTTCTGAAAAAATCTGAGAACCAACAAATTAAATTGGTGTGGCCTTACTATGAGTTTTATTCAACATTTTATACTGTATGTTAAAGAGGTGCTCAATTTCTGTAACATTTGTGCTTGAACTGATGGCAATGTTTTGGTGAACTGTGTTGCTATTTAAGAAGTTATGCCAAACAGTGTTAATAATGATTGCACTAGAAAGAAGAAAAATTGCTTGTCTTGGTATATGTATATCATACCGAAGGATACTGTGGAATATATGCACAACTTCCATGATAGAATTTTATTTTAAGTTTTGTTTTGATACAATTCTGCAAATGGAGATGGTTTAGATCCGTATCAGTTTTGTTTGATTTTTGCATTTTT